GGCTTTATTGCGGATCACGAAATAAATAAGTTGATATTGATTACTTCCCAAGTCCAACTAGAGTTTTGCTTTTCATACAATAATTATAGGCCTATATACAAATGCGATTTTTTATATTTTTAAGTGACACTCTTCACCGTTGTCGTTGATCATGATTTTAGTGAACACCCTTAAGTTCAATGTTGTTGATAACAGATTCCTCAATCCAACGGCTGCATGTAATGTTTGCATGGGTTATATATAATGGTTCCCGAGTAAAATGTATTGAAAATACGGTAGTATATAGCACGATTATTGCATTGGCCATACAATTGCATGGGCCATTCACACACTATAAAAAATCGCTTCGTCTTCTGACCACATGAATGCATGCATGCTATGATTTAATTCTACGCACTCTCTTGCCAAATACAGATGGAATAAAACAACTCGTTCATATAGCAAAGCTTGTTCAAGTTAGTTTTAAAAAAAGATGATTCAAACTTCAGGTGTATGAGAAAGAATTTACACAGCCTCTTATTCAATGCAGCGCAAGCCATTATAGCATGTAGCAAGAACTTACCGCTTATATATCAAATACTGCATGGCCTACTATAAAATAGAGGGAAATTAACGCCCCAAACTGGCGGCTCTTGATGAGGGAACACAAATTGTACATGTGATAGAAGTGAAAGATACGAAATAAAATCGGCTATGTAACGAGTAGCCATTGCCCATGAGCAAGGGAGGTTCGTGCATGTTCAGTAATTCTTGCCCTTTCATGACATATATATCATTCAGGATTGCAGTAGTTTAAGGCTAACAAGAAGAGTATTTAATACAGATTTCTGCCGATGCCTCAGGAAATAAGGAATGATGCGGTTTCGTTTACTAAGCTCAGTACATTCATGAAGGTTCAAAACGAAGCCTAGTTTACGCCAGCGAAGCTCACATTGCCTTAAATGATTTGTAATTGGGTGTAAAGAAAGTATACAAATATTTTTGTTTTTATATGGGCGAAATAACTTTTAGACATTTTGCAACGGAATAAAAGCGAAAGTACGATATATGTTATTGTTGGTTACAAACTGCGTTTTAAATTGAAGGAAAGGTTTGCTGGATTCTCAAAAAAGCTTCATGTTATGATTTACGACAAGAGGAATTACATTATATATAGGAGTCTTAATTTGCGAACTTACCATGTCGAAGGCGTTACGATTGGAATTAAAATCACTTTGCTGGGAAAATGTCCCTCTTCTCTCAAATATTTTCCAAGAAAAGTGTGAAATTCGGAGAAAATGCTTCGTTTTAAGCAGTGAACGCGATGCTTCATAAACTTTTGCATGGATCATGTTTCATTCAGTATCTGTTGAAACCGATTAAATATAATTTTGTCTATATTTTTATTTTAAAACTTGTAAAACAATCTACAGCTATTCTATCATAGCTGTATTACCAAAACTTTATTAATCTGTGATGTTTGTTAATGGTCTGACTTTTCGAAAATTAAGAAAAAAATTAGCGAGTCATATGATCTACCGGAAGTCTATTTCCTTTCTCTTTAGCTTCCTTGAACAATCTTACCGAGAAACGTTATTGCGCATTATTTATTCTACCTTTTATTCCGAGAAAAAGTAGTTGTTTTAAAAGACAAAGCGTTTTGGTACTTCGAAGGTTCTCTCCCAAACGAAGTGTCAAGGTTGAAAAACACGTGACCGGCATGCGCAGGTCAGCTGGACCATGCAGGCATGCATTTTGAAGGACACCGGACATTCTGACGACATTTCACAATGGGTGCGAATAATTCTATCGAAAAACAGTCATATTCGAGACAGGTATATTTTTTATAATATTTACGCAGTTCAGATAAGCTCGCAAAATTATATTGCCTGTTGAATAACAGTTTGCATCGAAATATATAGCGAGCAAGCGGTTTACAGGAAATGAACCGAAGCGTGGCTGCATCGCAAAACATGCAAATATACGTTCACTATTTCGAAATACAATGCGTGGATGAATAAATTCTTTCTCATAAGGGAGAAATAGTAGTTTGGAATTCGTAGAAACAATTCTTGATTGAAATTAGAGTTGTCCAGTGTATTTCTAGAGCTTTATAGTACAGTCTATCTGAAACATATACCAGCCTGAATTTTGCTGCTTGCCAAAAAATATGAATTTTAATGTTTTATGCGATTTTTGATCGGCTAATTTCAAATCAACTTATAGTGGTAGCTTCGTGTTTATTATTACGAAGCAAATTTCCACCAATTCATAAATGACATGGCAAAAGTTGCGTAGAAGACAAATCAGCACAGGAAGTGTTGGTAGGGATTGTGTGTTTTGATTCACTTATCTACGTATACACCAAAAATACAAGAAGTTGTTTTATATAAGCGAAGCTTTTATATGTTTCGAATTACTTCTACAGATTTCGAACGTCATATTTTGTAATTGCCTAGTTATATGCATGCATTTCGATAGCCACACAGGAATTTTAGGTTGATGGTTAATTGAATTATCGTCTTCTGCCATTCTTACACGTTAGCCTATCGAATTGCAATCTTTTGTGCATACTACGATTCTATTGGCTATGTGTGAAAATGACAAAACATGCATAAACGTTGATCAAGGTCATCTTTTGAATGCATTCATGACCTGCAAAACGTTGGAAACCGCATTAATTCTCTATTCGATTCTGTGATCACACATGCAGTCATTCTTTTGTGCTTCTGAAGAAATCGTACAAAATACCGGGTGGTTTTGTCTGTGTACACGAGCTACGAATACTTTTGCATGCATGTGCATGCCGCTCCTCTGCGAAAGCCAATGCAATTTTATCAAATAGTTCGCTTTTGACCAACCTAGGAGACAGTCGAGATCATTAGCAAGCGCACCATTGGCAAACTAATCGTGAAGCATTGTGGTAACGAAGGACAGTCAGATGACCCGACACTTGTTGTGTCTCTGAGACGAATACTCCAAGCGACGATCACAAAACTCGACACGGAATCAGAGGAAACGTGGAGGAATGCAGAGATCGTTATTTACGACCAGGAAGGAAACGATTTCTGTATTCGATCGGGAGATTTTGAAAACAAGTTTGTCGTTCAACTCGACGAAAAAGATGAGATTAACATAACGTGCACTAACAGAAAAAAGCGAAGTTTATTTTCATGCCTAGGTGCTCCTTTCAAACGGACCACAAATTCGTCGAATAGCTCGCTACGTTCGGAACATAAAGCTGCCATAAACCATGAACCGACCTTGGAATATGACGCTGGAAAGTCTTGAGTAGAGCCTAACAATCTAACAGACTTGAAAGTTGAATCCTGTAACGACATGCATGCAAGGCAACTCGATTTCGAAACATGTCCAAGGTTTAATATTTTAGCAATGTTTTATATAATGATATATATTTTAAAGCGAAATGCTTTTTTGTTGTTTAACAATTAAAGGTTAATTCAAATCAGTATACAGGCAAAACTTTCATGTCGTCTTATGGTATATATGAAGTTATTTGCATGCATGATGTATCTACACTATTAAATATTCTTCCTGCATTCTTTCACACTGATTTTAAGATTTTACAATTGAATGTTCGGATCACAAAACAACGATTTTCAAAACACAGCATCAATTCTCTCTTCACTTTCAAAAGAAATCATATTCACGGTGCCACTTTGTGTTTAGTTTTCTTGACGAAGGCTCCTGCATGACGAAGGCTATCAGGTCGAAACGTCAACGGAAGCCGTTTTTGTGTATTTTAGGCAGTTGTTATCCTAAATTTAATTTCAACAGCCTTTTTTAGTTACATGCCGAGTCATGCATGCACGTAAGAATTAGTATCGATATCAATAGTTTTTTTTTAAACTATAAGGCCAACTGTTCCTGACTTGAATTTGAAGTGTGAAAATTCCACTCGAAATTAAGACCCTTTTTATAACCTCTATATATACGCACTAGCTTAGCAATAAGAATTATATATGTTTGATTGCCCCTTAAAAATTCTCTTATTTTCATTTTTAGTTTTGAGAAAGTGGTTTGTTCAAAGCATTGGAAGTGAATTCGAAAGCTTTATTATAGTTCAAACCTTGAGATCATGTTTCATTATTTACTGAAATACATTATTAAACAGCTATAATGTTGCATGTCTTTATTTTTATCGTAAAACTGCATGGTCAAACTACAATCTATCGTTTTTCTATCATCGCTGTGCTCTGGATTTTCTTTCATTTGATAATAGTAGTATGCTTTATTTGGTTTATTAGAAATGAAGAACTGAAAATATAGCCCTATCATTTGATCTACCGGAAGTCTATTCCCTTTCTCTTTGCACAGTTTCCTGTTTCCTCGAAGTATCCCACCGAGAAAAGTTATTATGCATGCATTATTTAATATTCCGCCTGTTATTGTAGTTCAAAACTGAAAAGTCGCATTTGAAGACGAAACGTTTTGACTCTTTAGACGATTCTTTCAAACAGAGTATTATAAATACACGTGACTGGCAGGTCATCTGGGGCATGCATCTTGAAGGAGTCCGAACGATACATCACAATGGGAATAAGTAGTTCCAAAAGTTCTATAGAGGAGCAGCCGTATTCTAGACAGGTAGCTATATTCGATAGTACTATACATTTCAGCGAGTTTACAATATGATATTCATCTACTATATTTATGGTTTACGGCGGCAATGAGATTGACGAAACCGTGGCTGCGTCGTAATCGTAATTTAATGCCAAACTAAGTTCAAAAATATTCAAAGTATATATGGCATGCAATCTGAACTTTTCGTCTGTCAATAACTTCAGTGCAGTACAAGTCATTACAAATTTTGGAATTTAGGAACAGTTTTTAGTTGAAATCAGAGTTAGCAGTGTCATTACGCCTGAATTTGAGGTCTTGCTTTCGGATATTTCGATGGTTTCAAGTGAAACTTACGTACGGCTTAGATTAGCCGGTTTTAAGTCGACTTGGCAACATCTTGTTTATTGTTGCATGCAAATTCCGACCACAAAATTTCACAACTGACGTTTCTAAATTTCTCAATAATCAGTTTCTAGAACAAGGTCAAGAATTAGCATGAGACGTATTAATAAAGGTTGTGAATAAAAACCTCAAAAATACAAGAGTGAGTAATTTTAAAGTTTCGAGCAAGGCTATAGCTCTTGCATAAAGTTATATTAAACGTCGCATAATTTGCTTGCCATATGCATGCAAGATCATTTTAGATTAGAAATTAGAAATGGACTGGCACTGGTTGGTTGCGAAATCGTCTTTTTTTTATTTCGCTTTTGACCAACCTAGGAGACAGTCGAGATCATTAGCAAGCGAACCATTGGCAAACTAATCGTGAAGCATTGCGGTAACGAAGGACAGGCAGACGATCCGACACTTGTCGTAACTCTCAGACGAATACTCCAAGCGACGATCACAAAACTCGACACGGAATCAGAGGAGACGTGGAGGAATGCAGAGATCGTTATTTACGATCAGGAAGGAAACGATTTCTGTATTCGATCGGGAGATTTTGAAAACAAGTTTGTCGTTCAACTCGACGAAAAAGATGAGATTAACATAACGTGCACGGATAGAAAGGGGCGAAATCTAATTCCATTTTTCTCATCCAAACGGTCCGAGCCGTCGACGAGTTCCTCGCTGTCGGCAAAGAGAGCTGCAATTGAACAAAGGCCAACCACTGAGTCAAACTAGTGAAAATACCCTGGATATAGCAAGTATATACCTAAACAATCTCGTGGCCGAACCCGGAATTTTCTATGGAGCCAAAATGAATGAACCATGGCCAGAAATTGCGGACATGGAATATGCAGATTGCCGTAGCAAATTTGCATATCTGTTCAAATATTATTCGTTTGCAGAACTAAAAATTATATTGCGCATTCTTAAATTTCGCAAAATTAAGGAAAACCATTGCATCTTTGCAATTTGCCCTGGTTGTTTCTTGTAATTCGTGTCATATTAAAGATCCTGAGGTAATATTTTGCTGGTAAAGGTTTATGTCGGCTCTGCATTTTTATTTTATTTGTACGCTATTACGGTTTTCGTTTTATATGGTATTCAACGTGATAAATGACCAAAACTTTGTTTTGAAAATGCAGGACGAATACTGATAAAACATTTTGAAATACTGTCTCAAAATATTAAGATTAACTTTCTCTGCAACGAGCAATTAAGGCAAATTATAATCGACCACCTAAAGCTGTATTTATAGCGTTTAGTACTGTGCACATTACAGTTTACTATAAACTCGCGAAGCTTTATTAGTTGACCTGCATCTAAGGACGAAAGCGTACTAATATTCATTTATGCAACGTTCTTTCGTCAAAATCCCGAGATCTTATTCGCTATGTCTGTGCATATGCTAATGCAACCTATAAAACAACTTTTGTATGCAGATTGTTTCCTATGAACTTATGATATGATGCTAATTGGCAGCCATTCCTTTGGTTGACGGTTGTCATCTGCATGACTACAAATTTCCCCCGTTATTTCTCGAAAGACGTTTTAAGTCAAATTGTATTATTGCCAGCTAGTCAACAAATATTCCATCGTTATTATGCCTTTGGGACTTTTAATATGAACAGTATTATGGAATGACATTTGTCATTTGGATAGGTATACAGTCTTTCACCATACCGAACACAATATTCATAACACAATATACGAACATTAAAAAGCGGTAAAGTAGCGGTAGGTATGTAGATGGTAAACAAAACTTGAAATATATTGTTTAAGTTCACATATAGGACATTTAAATCAACAATTTCGTTCTCCATGGTCACTTTCACACTTGTTGTTTGTTGTATAGGCAGTGAAGCAATTCTTAAATGCAAATGATTTTAATTCGTGGCGTAGTCAGCCTGACAATTTAGTCCCACTATGCTGATATTTTGGTGTTGACAGTGAAAACAATGAATTTCTAAAGAAATGAATAATGTTAATAAAATTTCCATAGCAGGACTAAATCGCCAGTCTGGCTAAGCCACTGATTTTCAGAGATGAAATTCAGTAAATTATTGATCTAAAAAATATTCCTGATTTGCGGTATGTGCTTTTTCCCTTGTGGCTGTGACCAGATTATTGATCGAGGTCTGTAAAACACCGACTAATAAACTCTATACATGTATATTATACATTTACGAGGTCATTCAGTCACACTACATTCTATATCTATCTGACAAGAGCGTTAGGGGAACGCATCTTCTATTCCAATCTTGCCACGATAAATATTTGCGTATTTCTTCCCTACCATATAAATGCATTTATCTAGCTATCAGTTTGAAAGACCCGTTTTGACTTGATCCGTACAAAAGACATGCATATATCGACATTGAATTATTTAGGATTTCGTTCCCTTTCGTCACAACCAATAACACACATGCATTTTCCCTAAACATGCAAATTTAAAAGCAGCAACCAGTAGGAAGCAGCGGTTTTGCTTAGGCTTACGTCTCGGTAATGATATTAATGAGCCTATAAGTCCCCTTTCGTTCTTAGATGCAGGTCAACTATTTTGACACCATATGCAAATTTAGGCGGAAGTAGAATGTTAATTATGTCCGAATTTTCTGGCCATGGTCCGCAATCCTATTCATACTTTAAATGTCAGGAATAAAAGCGTTAACAAAACTTAGATATCGGTCAGTTGTTTATATGAATTAAAACGTTTGGGGAGGAGTAAAGATGCGAGTCGATTAAGAAGTGCACTTTAAATTTAGAGATAGAGTAGAAAACACGGTAAGCCGTATTTTTGTCTATTTTTTTTTCCATGGACAGGCTATTTTCAACAAAATCTATTGACTCTCGATTACAAAATACAAATTGCTCGCCCTTCGTTATTAGCAATTAGATTTCAGAAAAGTGTTAATATAAAAGTAAAATGTTTGGCATTCTGGATTCAACGTCATTATGACATCTACTAATAAAATTCTGAAGACCCAGAATAGAAGGGCCACTACCCTATCGGCGTCGAATATCCGCTCAAGATTTTAAAAATACATAGTTACGTAGTTAGAAGTCAGTACATACATAGTTGGTTCAAAAATACATAGTTTATTTTCTCGGCAATTTCGCCGATGTTTTCATCTTTTCAAATAGTATATTAGTATTACGCCCCAACATGATTCGCTAATTCGCTATCGATTTACCTCACGAAATGTTCGTTGTTGACAACTGATAATTTTCAGTCTATGAAATTCTTATAATCAGTTACGCTTAATTGATTATTTATTTTCCAAATATCAATGAAACTGAATTAACGCCGAAAATATTTTGTGAATAATTGAATAAATTTTCTTTTAGACAGATTTGGAGGGTGTTGAGCCAAAATCATTTTTGGAGGCCCAATGCCATTTAATTAAATTCTCATTCGATTGTAGATATTTCTCAATCTTCTAAATTACCTTCTGCTTTCATTAGCTCGTTAACCTTTTCAGTCATGCGAATTATATCTTGAATGCACTTTTTTTCTTCATCATTGAAGTCGTCAGGAATCTGGGTTTTAATCGCCTCACGATCAACTAGCGGATGCGCAAATTTCTTCCTGAAGTCGAGAAGTTTGAAAAACACTTTTTCATGTTCATCCGTCCATGAAAACGTCTTCTTCTGTAAATCATCCCATTTCTTGTTTGCTTTCCTTCCTTGTGGTGTCTCCTTTTCCATCTCCAGCCAATCTTTCAAATTCGTAAATATTTTCTGATATCCGAATTTTTTACCATTTGGATAGATGTAGGTTGCAAGATCTCTTTCGAATTCAAAGGCAGTCTGACCAGTCTGAAGAGAATTCCTTAACCCCGCTAGTTCGCCCTGCGTTGCTTGTAGACCGGTTTTTAATTCTTTCACCTCGTTTTTCAAATGATCAATCTTTTTATCTTGCTCAAAAATTTCACCCTCAAGTTCGGCAATTTGCTGTATATATTGTTTTTCATTCTCCTCCAAAGTTCTTGCCTTTTCCTCCAATGCTGTCACACATCCAAGATTATTCTCCAGCGAGTTGATGGTTTCTTTTATTTCTTTCCCGTATTTGATCAATGCGTCTTTAAGATCTTTTAATTCTTCTATTATACCTCGTCCTTCGTTTTGGCTTTCATTAATGGTTTCAGTTATTCTGAAGTACGTCTCAACCCTTGCATATAACCGTTCCAAGGGAACAATCACCTCCTCCATTTTTTCTTTCCGCGCAATGATTCAGATAACGATCTTTTATACTCTCTCTATTCCTTCAATGCATGGAAGATACCTGTTATTGATTTATATATTTGACCTATGGTCACCTCACACATTTTCCACACGTATAGGATTTATTATGCAAAAGGTGGACCAGAAATGACCAGGGAGAGGTAGGGCAAATCAAAATTACATTTTCCCGCTTGTTTCTTTGCCTATAAATCTCGCGAGTTGCGTGGCGGCGTATACGTATATAATTGCCGCAATTCAGGGTTTCCACAACTTATTCGCAAATGACTGTCCTCATTGGGGGGTAACAATAACAAAAGAGAGAGACAAAGAACTTTTGAAAAGAATGCACAATGTATCCTATTAAGACTGAATATGATGGTTGTCATTTTGAAAGAAATTTCCTTCATTGTGGAAACATTATTGCCGCTGTTGTGAAGCAGACTGCAGAAATTAATAGCCACCACTCTAGCGGTGAATACGAGGAGAGTGTTGGGCAAAAGGATCGATGGCAGAATGTAGTATCCGCCGGTAAATGCCGGAATATCACGACTGATAAATTTAATCTTTACGTTGCTATAAAATGAAGCATTTTAATTGGACAGTAGGCCTATCATATGACGCTTGACTCGGTCGAAACAACTTATCAAAAACAATTTATCAGGCTAAGTAGGATTTCTCGTGATCGTCTCAGTCCTGGCGTGAAAAAAGTGAAATAGCTGTTATTGTTAAAAACGGTCTTGGAACCGTTCCCTATAGTTGCCGAGCAATAACGAAAATTGCCAGTGTCGGAAACTTTGTATATGTCTTGAAAGGAAAGAAGACAATTATAAAAATTATTGAATTAAAGTTGCATAAAACTACAATGAAAAAAAAAGATGAAAAAGAATGAAGGTCAGTATATAAATTGCCTCAGTGAACTTACCATATATTTTTGATTATGTGTGATTGCAGTTTCATTGCATCTTGCCTCAACAGAGGCTTGAAAGTTTTGATTGTATATCACTACTGTTGACATATAGCTATACTGGTTGCCTTTCTGACCACAGGGAGTATCATGCAGTCAAAAAATTAAAGCATGAAAGGGCACGTATAGAAAACAATGGGTACGAAAGACAACATATGCACGTCGGCGTCGCGTGTCTTGACCTGCCCGACTGAAAGTGATCACATGAGCTGACCTTGATTGAATGTATGACATTGGATGGCCTCGATTACACAATCGGTCAGATTATTTCAGTGCCATAAAAGAAGATTTAATTTCGTGTAGGTATTCAAAATGCTGTGAATGTTTTTGCTGCATGAATGACACCAAAATAAATATACAACTGAGAGGGAGTTTAAAATAATAGTTTAGGTTAGGAAAAGGGGGAAAATAAATAGTGGGAAGGGAAAAGTGCAAAGATTTGCCTGGTTATATGTTGTATACATCGATCTATACTATAGCTTTAACAGCTCTCGTTGACGAGAGACTTGACGTGTGAGAAAGAAATACAAAATAGCTCTTTATCTTATCTTTTTATTTCGAAAATTATTTTTTGTTACCTTAAATGAATGTCTTGAAACGAGACAACTATAGGCCGTTTATACAGGGAAAAATAAGTCGCGACTTATTTAAAACGCGACTTAAATAAGACGCGACCTCGTCGATAAACGATATAAATGCTTGTTCGCATCTTGTGAACACGGCCGAAAAAATCAGAAATGGCGGACAATATATGACACCATAAAGAGCAAAACTCCAGCAAAAACAAGAGATACATGGAGTGCCAACAAATACGGAATTAAGACGCGAAGAAATTATCTAACTACTTATACCAGCTCGCGTCTTAAATAAGTCGCGACTTATTTTGCCTTGTATAAATGGCCCTAATGAGTAATGTTTTTTTCCGGAAAATTCTTATTATTCCGAAAGACATGCCTAATGACATGCCTAAACCGGCTGCTTTTATTTTGTTATTGACCTTTTACTGATTGACCATATCATGAGACAATAAGTCAATATATCTAGCAAATGTTAAAAGGACATGCATGTGCTAGCTAGTGTATTTCTATCGCCAGTCGACACAATAAATCACATTCTTTAGTCTTTACTTACATATTTCTAAATATATTATGTTAAAAGTGCTACTGAATTTCTGCACAAATTGTTCGATGCTGACGATGGAACTGTTGTTCCAAGTAATGTTCAGGGGCCGGTTGTTCAGTTCGAAAGGCGTTTAGCTTAAACGGTGGATAAGCCAAAGTTTAAAAATACTCTCATACATCTTCTGAATGAACCTGAAGTGTAATCAATGTATGTATTAAAGTGTTTTGTATATTGATTTAATGTATGTATTTATTAAAGTGTTTCGTATATGGAAAAAGTCAAATATCCTCATAAGTCCCTATGGTTTCTTTTTGTGTGTTCTGTAAGTATGTGGTAAATTTATTTATTAAATTGAAATTAAATTGAATTGAATTGAACCTGCATCTTATGCATTTACAATGAAACTATTTACATCGAAATATTTCAGATCAGTTGTTCAATAAATAGATAAATTGGTTTTTCCATTTCTAACTTATCTACTGTTTAAGCTAAACGCCTTTCGAACAACCGGCCCCAGATTCCCAGTGATTACAATTCTTTAATCCTTGCTTTAAATTTGATGGAATGATTAAAATAGAAATTTGCAATTACAACACCGTCACCGGCATACGTGTCCTGACAAGAATCGAAATATTTATCATATGACGTTGTTATTTATTAAGCCTAGCCTGTCTATAATTAGAAAAAATTATCCTTTAGTATTGTTCTTTATTCGCTAAAGAATTACGGAAAAAGAAAACTATATAAAACGTGTTTTTTTATAATAAACTCCATTCATCGCGTCGGAAATCCACCTCTGCTTAACCCACGGTTACCACGGATAGAAAACCCGATACCCCTAGTTAACCCTCCCCTTCCTCCGATACCTCCGCGTCCCCCGATTCCCCGCATACCGCGTGTCGACCACGCGGGACCACCAGGTCCCCCGCGACCTTTCCCGCCATCCCCTTTGTTCTTTGCCTTCGGGGACTTCGGTCGGAGATTCTCGATTTCCGGCGTGTCGCCGACGAGGTAGTCGGTCGGTGTGCTGTTGAAATACGAGTTATAAGTTTCGCTGGAGAAATTTGAACTGGAAAGGTCTTGACCGACTGTTAACCAACCTAACAAAATGGAATAATGCATAAACCATAGGCATAGCTCTTTGTTGCGTGAGTACGAGGCTCAGGAATATCCACAACAATATAAGTTCACGAATAAAACTTTGTACTACATCCAAAATGCATCCATCTCTCAATATTATATACTAAATAGTTGTGTTAAATATAGGCAATTCTTTCCATTAAAAGCGATGCCTTTTTGAGAGTCTTCAACCTTTCTCCTGGAGGATTGCAGGCTTTATGAAGACCATTGCTCATAACATTCTTTTTTAAAATTCATTTATTCACCTGGTCGTAAAGTGCTGTCATTACCGAACAAATGAAGACGTCTTCTTCCCAAACAAAAATGTTCAATAATATGAAAGATTTCTTCGGGTTTTTCCGTGCTCTCTATTGGTGGCTAAAGAATGCGAAAACAACAGTCAAAATGTAATTGGGTTAAATGTATATTGTTCAAATATAGAATACCAACGCGCATTCACACAACTGACAATAATGCTGTACCATGTGGCTTATGTATCTTTATGTGCACAGGGGGGGGGGGGAGTGAGGGGGAATACATACCTCTTCAGTAATGATAAGGTCAATGTCCACATTGGCGTGGATAAAGTCAAAATCAGTACTTCTTCGAACCGTTCCCTTGATCCCCATCAAGCAATGTTCTTTCGTGTGTTGAAATATCGCATTCGGTTCTAGGAATTTCACATTTCCGGGATTTTTCTTGTTTGTTTTGATCCAGCAAATGTCCTCGCAACGACGAAAACCCCACTTGCGAAGACACTAAATGTTCGAGTTGATATTTTTCAATTTAAATTGTTCGAAAACTTGGCCATGTCACGAATATTTCGTATATTTTTCAACTAAATGTGTACCTTTCGACCTTCAATCAATCCCTCATGCGAGCCACACCATAAGAAAATGAAAGATCTCTGTGCGGCTATTTCTTCAATTTCTAGTTTCATAATCTGTTTTGAAATGACAAATTAATTTACGCCATCAAAGTTACTGTAGGTTTCCTAATACACAGCTAGGGTGTTATACTAAAAAGGCGAGAAGCTAAAGTATGTGTTTTTATTTATGAGTCGTACGTAATTGTTTGTGAGAGTTATCTTGCAATAAATATCTAAAGCCCACGACCGCAAATTTACAGTTTTTTACTAGCAACAGAAAGATGACAAAGGATGGTTGAGAAACAACAGAAAGGTTGTTTTGTTTTGTATTTCACTATATTTCTCCTGGAGTACCATGCATCAGACGCCGTATTATTACCATAGTATTATATATAGAGTGCCTATACCTCTTCCCAGGTCCATGGCCGCCAGTTGTGCGAGATTCCAGAGCCTCGACGCTGGTATTCTTCCAAAGGTGGATCAACTAATATGGCGTCAAACTTACACTCCAACTCTCGTAGATCAAATGTTTCAAGATTACATTGCAAATACCTAATGTAGCAATACGAATATGGACAAATTTGAAAACCCCAATTTTGTCCAAGAGTTGAGGAATTTTTCGAATCCCTTAAAATAGGTACGCTAAGCGTACATATATCCTCGAGTATCTGATGAACATAATACTCAAGGAATAGATTTTGACCTGTTTTCAGACATGCTACCACAGTTCTGCTGATCAGTCTGAGAGATTATTAAGCTCACAATATAGTATACTCATTGATACGGCAACTTACATTGGTGGCGTAGCTCTCTTGGCAATAATTTCATCCTGTTTAACAAAAGTAAAGCCCCATCTTCATATTTCATATTGAATCGCATTTATCCTCAGAAATCTGGTATGTTTACATACCTACGATGCACAAAATTTAAGTTGTTACCTTCAGTCTAATAAGCTCTTTAAGTTTGGGATATTCTTCGAAACGATCAGCCAAACCTAATCATGAGATGACACAATCTTTCCATTTAAAAAGGCCACTATCTTACCGAAACACTTAAAAATATCTTTTCAGGAATAATTTTCTTCAATAATAATCATGTTTTTCATTGCAATTGCAAAAAAGCATTGTAGAACACACAGAGTTTTTCAAGAAGACAAGCCATAGTTCAGGATTCAAACTCCCCATTGGGACTTTGAATACTTTCATAATCAATATATTACAGGTGTCCTGTTTTTCCTAAAAAAGATATCTAGTATGTTCTTATAATAAAGGACATTGGGGCAATGCTGATGGGTAAAAGGTTTTGTAATATAGTATGTTCATGCCAACTGATTGTTGACTGCTTACCAACATCACGAATAAAGTTCTGGGGTCGCTGTCCAGTATCTACAAAGTGCTGACAATAATCGTTGTGAGGGTTTGCACTTTGGGTACCCTGTAGAAATAAAGGATATACAAGAAATGAAAAACCAAACAGATGAACACAGTCACTTGCAATTTGTGTTGCAAATTGGAAGCTAACAAAAACACCTTTAAGAAAGTACTTGAGTCTTTATAAAATGCCTCTTGCATTTCCTCAAATTCTCCCTCAGAATAATCATCCTCATCTGCATACTGGAAAAAATGTTCAGACTTCAATGAAGATGAAATGAACTTTAAATAGCTGTGAAGTGAATTTGTTGTTATAAGGATTTTATACCCGAAAGGAATATTTTCATCCATTACTTTGGTAAAGTTACCTTAGTAGGCCCCTAGGTGGGATTGAAATTGTGTATAATTGGGTATATACTGCAGGCATTCTAATTCCAAGCAACAAAAAAATAGATTTTTATGTCCCCCTTAAATGCAAAAGTGTTAAGGATAGACTACATTGTACCTCTTTCTTTGGCTTCTTCTTTGGCGGTGCTTTCTCTTCTGGTGTCACAACCTGGTTGATTTATAATAAACTAGATTTATAATATGCAGGTAGACTTAATTACTATCACATCTACACTTATGATTATATATTTGTTAATTGGCAGGGTTGGTGGCAAAGATTTTTATTTTTGTTCTGTCTATAATCCATTAATGCCTCTTTTCACCACTGTATGATGATTAAAAATTAAGCCATGGTTTACCTTGGGAGATGTTTCAGCCTGAATACCAGGAAGTTCAAATGCCTCAACAGCTTTCCTTTTTGATGATGAAGATTCCTCCTTAGTCTTCTTTTCTGGAGCTTTAGTCTGACCTTTTGGTTTCACATCAGGTTTGGCAACAACGTCCGACTTGTTTCCCAGAACCTGACCAATACCGTCAGTATCGCTAGCACCAAGCTATGAAGTTTAAAACAACAATTAAAATATCTGACACATTAATCAGTTAGAACACAGTTGAAAGAATGCAGTTTGTTGATGAAAAAACTTTTACACGCTGGAGTGCAATATATGCAACCTATGCACAAAATCTTTAATGTGAGGTTGCTATCCTTGCCCATGTATACTAGCACAATTGTTCACATGCTGGTAAATAGATATTTTATCCCCCGCGACTAATTGACTGGCAGCTAAAACCAATTGTAAACAACATGTTTTATATTTAGCAAGCTGCTGGTCATTTAGTCACTGTGTATTTTATCGGCTTAGCAGCGGTTTTGGCATTTGGGGAAATATAAGTTCATCGGTTCAAAAGTATGATATTATAAACTGAGGTAAACACATAGGCCTCTAAAAATAAAAGTTCATCAAATTTCGGGATAAAAATTCTGGCATTATTATAATTTGAACCTGAAATGGGATTTTTTGTAGTGAATTTAGGGTTAAAGGTCCGCCGATCTGCTTTTTAAACATGCTGGCACTGAGCAAAAATTGCCGATCTGATCACAATCTGATCACATGGGATGCACGCTTTGTACAAATTATTATCATCACATTGTCCTTACTATTGGCGCCAGTAGCTGTCTTCTTAGTTTAGATTTTTCTTTGATCGCCTTCAATCTCTCACTCATTTTAACATATAACCTTTACTTTGCGACTTCCAGAGATCTGTACGACCAACCAACATAAAATTGCACTAAAAAACAAAATTCCTTTAAAAAATCTCAAATGCTGTGTTAATTTTTTAAAAATATTTCAATACTTCATGTAAATCAGTAAATGTTATCCTAATGGATATGATAATTATATCCATTGTGATCCATTGATGTCTGTGTGAACCACGTGTACTCGAATGTACCGCCTTGAAAAGCAACACTAATCCCCCCGTGTCGCTAAATTCTCGGAAATGTGGTGGTATGGTGGTGGTGGAAATAATGGTAAATTGTAAATGTATGAAGGTATTTTTATAGAGTCAAACATTCGGACACGATCATTTTTCTTTCGACTTTTAGAATTTAGTCAACCAGCTCTAAATTTTTTTTAAAAAAGCCTTTTTATTGGGAAACAGAAGTCTGTAAAGACAGAATATTTACTACATACAGATTCACCTTGGTGAACTTGGGAGTACCTGTAATTATGCATTTCTTCTTGATTAGCTGTCTGTTTGTCCGGAATGTCCGCGCTCAAACCCTGCAATTGCATTGTCATTTGTCGGTATAAATCATAGCCTCCTCGTAGAACTGTTGCGGTATAAATCATAGCCTCCCCACACCACACTGACACTGTGACCACACTATAAACTAACCAGTCACCAAACAGTCCAAGACTAATTTACTGTGCTAATCACCTACGGACTGTACCCAGAAATAATTCACTTCCGTTCCGTTGGCGTTCGGCAAAAAGTAATATTAATACTGAATAACCAGCGTCAGAGGAAATTTTTGATTGAAAATGTTTTCTTTGCTGCCCATTTCTACAGTTTTGCTTCACGGTGTAAATAATACGCCGAAAAAAGTCTCGGACTTTCTAAGCTGGCCTTCACAGGTACGACAATTGATGATTTTATTTGTCGGCTTGCGTAATATGGAATCGAGCGTTTGACGTTGAACGACTTTCTATGAAAAGCAGTCTGCTACCGCAGTATATTTAAACATGCATATAATTATATAAATCCTGGTATTTTTATCGAAATATGATTATCGTAATATGTTAAAATATATACTATACAAATACGTACATAGCCGTCACTTCTGCTGGTATGATTTCACTAGCTCACTTGTCCTGACTTTCTTATATGACCCCTGTAAATTTTTTTTGGTTTTTGTTCCTGGAGGAAACCCCGCCGCCAAAATTTTGTCTATTGATTGAATCCCTTGCCAGTGTGCAATAATGTATCATTATTTCTACTATTTGTGCAATGTGCAGTAGAAAATGCTTTTTTGATCACTACCATTATTGTGGTAACATGATTTGTGCACACATGTAGACCAACACAAACTCATCAATAGGACCTGAGGAATGCAAAGAAGCACTCCCAAGAGATGAAACTATCAGACTAAGACATGATTTAATTGGGTATGTTACTTGTCTTTTTCCCAAGTAAATCTTCTCGCACCAACATACCAGCTGAGTTTACTACACAATAATGTGAGTAGACGATTAAGTAGTCGATTACAATTTTGGATTTTTTAGCAAAGCTTGTGCAATTCATTATCAGGATGACCCTATGAAGATAGTCAGAGGTCTTGGCACATATTTATATGATGAGCAAGGCAATAGATATCTAGATTGTGTCAATAATGTTACACATGGTAAGTATGAAATCATATAATCACCACTGAAACTTTGCATACAATGACATAGGTAAAACATTTTCTGTTTTATTAAAGAGGGATTAGCCTGTACCTTGGCTATGCTTGTTCATACTCTGAAATGAGCTCTCCTCTCTATAAAACCACCCCTAGTATGTAAGCCTATTAAATCCTCTCAAATCATGATCACTTCAATAAGCTCTAATCATAACAAGCCCTATCTGTAATGAGTCTAAAAAAACTTTCTTCAATCTAAGTGCCTTTTACAGTTTGCAGGCCCCTACAATGAATTTTGTTAAGAGAAAATCATAGTAAAGTTTGCGCTTTTTTACAGTTGGCCACTGTCATCCACATGTAATAAGAGCGTGCGACAACCAGATGAAACAACTCAACACAAACAATCGATTTCTACATGACAGTATAGACCAATTGCGAAACTTAGTAACCGCGCCTTCGCTCAACATGGAAACGAGGCTTATTATGCAAAAAACAATATTTGTATTTTTTGTAGTACAAAGCTATTCGCCGAGTTATATGCCGTTTTTCGCCTTTGTTTTACATATTTTTCGATACCTTTCAGCTTGGTTTCATCGTTGTTATCATAGTTCTCAGGTTAGGAAATTTTGCCTTTCAATTGAGGCGTTTTTGTGGTGTTTTCATTAATCTTTTCGGCTGCTTTCGTCGGGGAAGTATAGAAAAGGCCGACACAAACTCAGGTAAAAATTTAGTTTTTCCAAACTATTTCGTGTCAAGTTTTGAAAATGTATTTCATTTTTCTCCCTCTTATTTGTGCAAAATTTGGCGATATATATTTGGTGCAAAATCTATGTTTTTTATGTCAAAAATTATTGAAAAGTGACAGTCAGATTATATAATTTTCAAACCTGATGACTGAAATGGCTTCATTTATCCAAATTTATTCACAAATATCACTGTATTTTTTTTCTTTATACCACAGTAATACTGTTAAAATGGTCAAAAGTAACTGACTGAAATGTTTTTGTTTATATTCGTTTTAATAAAGTAGAGACGATGCATAGCTTGCATGCCAGCCTGAAGGCCGAATTTTATAAAAGTCGAATTCGAATGCATCTGAGTTTGCATCTGAATTCTGCATTTTGTTAGAACAAAACACTATTCTTCTATCTACTACCATGCAATAGATGTTTAATAAGGGTTAACCAGGAATACTTGAAAGGGAAAGGATTCCGTTCACCATCGTAAACGGAAAAACACTTGCGAACTCCGGTTTAAATTTTTTCGCTTTCGGCTTTCCCATCATGTAAAGGTGTATCTTAAAAAACGCTGCAGCTCGCATTGTGGCTACCTTTATAGTATGTTATTGCGGGAAAAGGAATATTCAAATGGCAATTCAAAATAGACAATGATATTATGTCTTGGTTATAAATATTTTACTATCCATGTCATGCATGTGTGCCAAGTTGAAGAGTTCATCACATCACATGTACTGTAGTCTATATACACAGGGAAAATAAACATAAAACTCCGTTGCTTATTTCATCTGTTATAGTTTTTGTCAACAGATTTCTACTATTTTTTTTTTGCTGAGCTGTAAAATTGCTGTCAAATTACATCTTATCGATCGATAAAATTTGTATAAAAATTTTAGATGAGAAATGTGAACATGGTGGTTTGTTCGATCGTGACTTTTCAATAATTTTTGACATAAAAAACATAGATTTTGCACCAAATATATATCGCCAAATTTTGCACAAATAAGAGGGAGAAAAATGAAATACATTTTCAAAACTTGAGACGAAATAGTTTGGAAAAACTAAACTTTTACCTGAGTTTGTGTCGGCCTTTTCTATATTTCCCCGACGAAAGCAGTCGAAAAGATTAATGAAAACACCACAAAAACGCCTCAATTGAAAGGCAAAACTTCCTAACCTGAAAACTATGATAACAACGATGAAACCGAGCTGAAAGGTATCGAAAAATATGTAAAACAAAGGCGAAAAACGGCATATAACTCGGCGGATAGCTTTGTACTGCAAAAAATACAAATATTGTTTTTTGCATAATAAGCCTCGTTTCCATGTTGAGCGAAGGCGCGGTTACTAAGTTTCGCAATTGGTCTATTGTTCAATGTAAGAGAATTCTTGCTAAATTACCTGAAAAACTTAAAGTCTGCTTCTTCACTTGTACTGGGTAGGTACTGGGAACCAGTTGAGATCAGGGGTGCCAGAAGTGTTAAAGTATCAGAAAATTTAAAGCTGATAGTATACTACACAGCCAAGGTAACAAAGCTTTTCATCCAACTTTTATTTTAGATCAGAGGCAAACGACCTCGCGTTACTATTGGCTAAAATGTATACGGGACACGAGGACATCGTTGTTTTAGACAAGTATGTTTGCTGTTAGGCCTGTTGAAACTATTAATTTTTTTCGGATGCAATTTTCCTATAACTTATGGAATGTACGAATGTGTTATTTAGAGCAGTACTGCATTTACTTTAGTTGATTATCTGTGATCTGTCCCTATATACATTGCACGTCGACAGGCTATAACACATCCATCAGAAGTGAATGGATCTGATTGGATCCGACGAAATAGGCTTGTTTGCTCATCGGTTCAAGGCGGTGGGCGGGGGGGGGGGGTGTGTTGCTCTCATTTAGTTGCTCTGTAAACAAACAATCATGCGTAAAGCACACCAAAAAACAAAACTTCTATGGCTTACCCGTGCTCCTGTGTTTCAGTGCATACCACGGTCACACGAGTGCGTTAATGGAATTATCTATGTACAAACTAAAGCAGATGAACAAAACTTGTGATAAGGATTACGTGCATGTCGTCACAACCCCAGACCCCTACCGCGGCAAATACCGAGGGTATTCGGAAGAGACGGGCGTGAAATATGCTAATGAAGTAAAGGAAACGGTGGAAAATGCTCAAAAAAACGGCCGGAAGGTAAGCGTATTGTCACATTGCACAAAACCGTTGTCAGCGTGGTTGAACAGAAAGTAATGGTTTGATATGTTCACGCTTGGAAGAAGTTTCTGTACTAAATTTTTAAATTCTAAATCCATACAGGTGGCTGCGTTTCTAGTCGAATCAGCACAAGGATGTGGAGGACAGATTATCTTTCCTGATGGTTTTCTTAAACATTCGTTCAAGTAAAATACAAATTATATAATACTATTCTATACCTTTCGACCCAATCAGTTTACATAGAAATTCACTCTACGTTTATGTTTTCTGTAGACATATTCGAGAGGCAGGGGGGTTTGTATCGCTGACGAAGTTCAGACAGGATTTGGAAGGATCGGTGATAATTTCTGGGTCTTTGAAGGACAAGGTAAGGTTTTCTTTTTAATATTTTTAGTTTATATCTTTGTTGCATGTTTTGTAAATAATTTTTTCCTCGCAGATGTTGTTCCTGATATTGTCACGATGGGTAAACCTATTGCAAATGGTCATCCCACTTCTCTCGTCGTAACTACACGAGAAATAGCAGATTCGTTCAGTTCGACTGGTGCAACGTACATCAATACGGTAGAGTACTTAAACCCTTCTTCTGTGCGAGACTAAAATGATCTCAGGGCACCCGCAAAGAACAACCGACATTCAATGGCCATTTAGGGTTGAACGGGGGTAATACGAGTTAATTTTGTTCCAGTATGCTGGCAATCCAGTATCATGCGAAGTCGCTCATGCAGTGTTGGATGTCATTGAAGAAGAGGGGTTGCAAAAAAATGCTTTGGAAGTTGGAAACTTCATGTTAAAACATCTCAAGGAATTACAGAAAGTCCATCCACTCATAGGAGATGTCAGGTATAGAGACATAAACCGTAAATCAGAGATGTGTAGAAAGGGGAAACATGTGGAAACATGCATTGTAATAGCTGCCTGTAGCGGCATCACAATACTAAGTTAACCTCAGTCCTAAGTCATACGTTACGATAATTGCAACATTTTCGATATTTCCTTTTCCAGAGGTAAGGGATTCTACATTGGGATTGAACTCGTCACGGACAGAGATAAGAAAATTCCTGCAAAAACGGAGGCCTATCAAGTGAAAACAAAGTGAGTTTTCATATCATAATTTTAAGTTCAACAGTTGTAGTCTATGCTATCTTTATTATCGAATATCCACATCTATACTTTGCTGCCAAAATCCTTCATCATCAAGTCGTATTTTAAAACCACGATTTGTCGGACCGACGTTGATAATATTTGAAATTAACGAACAATACAAGACCATGATATTGACCATCGAAAGCTAAAATCAAGATTTAGTATATAGAAGCCATATTTCTTAATGTGTATATAAAAATAGTGTGTATCTCATAGTACATATAATTTATCTTTTTCAAATCACAGACTGAAAGACAGGTATATAATCCTGAGCGTTGATGGTCCAGATGAGAATGTATTAAAATTCAAGCCACCAATGTGCTTCAGCCGGATGGACGGTGAATTCTTATTGAGTAACTTAAATGAAGTATTGAGTGAAGTTGAAGCCACGATGAAGCGATGTTAAATTACACGCCTAAAAACGCTCAGGTTGATGCAACATTGATATGAACAACATCGAACAATGTTGTGCTGCCCACATTGTTCAGAGTTGTTATCAACTTGGAACAATATTGTTGGAACTGAATCGGGTGTAACAATATTGTTCCAAGTTGATAACAACTCTGAACAATATGGGCAGCACAACATTGTTCGATGTTGATGCAACAACCTGATGAGTTTTTAGCCGTGTAGTGCAAATGCAAAGTTTGGGTGCGAAGTTTTGTAAAATACGGAAAATATAGCCATGCGAAGATGGCATATTTTGTATACTTTGTAACTAGATTAGTTACACACTCCGGCCGTATTACAAAACCATACAAAATTCGTGAACTTCGCATGGCTATATTTTCGGAAATTTACAACAATTCGCAGCCAAACTTGGCAGTTTTACTAATTTTAGTAAGCTCTTTCAGACGCTCTAATTTAGGTAAGCTCTATCGCCGAGGTAAGAGATTAATTTAGACCCACACAAACAGGACGCGATCACGCGAATTGGCAACGCGACGCAAATTTACTTTCTAAACGATATTTATTTTCTGAAATCAAATAAATTTTAAGCTATCATTATATTCTTGTAGATTGCATACAAACAATAATAGATTCCAAGTTAAGTATGCAAACGTTGCATAATTATTATTGTTTATTAATTAAACGACGTTGGTTTATTATATTAAATGATTTAAATCCCCGTGTACTTTCCCGTGATAATGAAATTTATAAATTCTGAGTCCATAAATCCGGGTCTATAAATGATAAAAAGTTAAAAATCACACAACACTAATTTCACCACACAGTGAGAAGTGAGTGCAACGCTGATTTACCGCGATAATCAACAACTTATCAACAACTGTGCTAACGACCGGTGGTAAAACGGGAGAAACCGGTTTTCTATGCAAATTTTCTCTTGAGTATAATAATTTACTTCCGCCGCATTCAGAACGCATTCAGTGATGTGGCCAATTTGATAAACACCGCAAAAGTCAAAAGACAAGTAATACTACATTTCCCGTCGACGGCAGTGGAAATTTTTGTATTAAGAATGTTTTCTGTGCTGCCCTTTTCTACAATTTTGCTTCACGGTGTAAATAATAAGCCCAGAAAAGGCTTGGACTTCGTAAGCTGGTCTTCACAGGTACGACAGTTGTCATGCAATTATTTTTCGCCTTGCGTAACAGATAAGATGGATCGTTGACATTGAACGACTTTCTATGAAAAGCAGTCTGGTAGCCACAATATATGTAAACATATGTAAATCCTAGCATTTTTATCGAAATATTATTATCGTAATATGTTCTTAATATACGAATAAGTGCAGCGTCACTTGCTTTGACATTCTCATGTGACCCGTTTCAAGGAATGTTTTGTTTGTTGACCCGGTGGAAACCCCGCCGGTACTGGCGGTTTAGCAACTGAACGATGAACCTAGTCTGGTATTTACCCGCGTACGCATTTTGTTATCCATTATTTTAAAATGATCGAGTTAATGGTTGAAGCGTAGGTTAAACATAGGAGTTGACAGATGTACTTGTAGTTTTTCCTCTTCCTGTGATATAGTCGCTTATAATTAAAAATGTAAGAAAGAAAAATCCCACGGGCAAGACAAAGCCAAAGGGGTATGCTCTGAGAAATATTTTTAAAATGTACAGTCTCAAGAATGCAATTTTTCTCACATTCTTTGGTAGAGATTTTGAAAAATAGAATATAATTATAAGCAATGTATAAGCAACAGTGCCTAAACATATTCCTTTTATAGTGTTAAGTTCTGGTTGTAGTCTATTGATGACAAAAATAATGATAAATTGCAAATAAAAAATGTTGCCAATTGGTGAATCTCTTGCCAATGTGCGGTAATGTATCATTTCTATCAATTGTATTAGATCAATGCAAACTTATCAACTGCACCCGTGGAATGCAAAGAAGCACTCCCAAAAGATGAAACTATCAGATTAAGACACAATTTAATTGGGTATGCAACTTGTCTTTTTTCCCAACTAGATCTTTCTGCAACTTATACTCTAGAGGTCGTAATGAATGATCATCTACTATTTCATTTTTAGCAAAGCTTGTGCAATTCACTATCAAAATAACCCTATAAAGATTGTCAGAGGTCTCGGCACATATTTATATGATGAGCAAGGCAATAGATATCTAGATTGTGTCAATAATGTTACACATGGTAAGTATAGAATTATAATCAGTACATGATTTTAATATGAATCAGTACATGGTTTTATCTCTACATAGGAAAGGGTATTTGATATAGTCGGTTATAAGGGGGGGGGGGGGTTGTCACAATTTTGAGCAAAGAACTTTCAGAATACTTTATGTTGTATGACATAGAAATTATTAATAAAGAAAACTCTCCAACATGCTCACTTTTAATGTACGCAACTAAAAACACCCAGATTGATGGATGTTGATATGAACAGGATGGAGCAATGTTGTGCTGCCCACATTGTTCAGGGTTGTTATGAACATTGAACAATATTGTTACACCCGATTCAGTGTCAACAATATTGTTCAATGTTGATGACAACTCTGAACAATGTGGGCAGCACAACATTGCTCCATCCTGTTTATATCAATATTGCATTAACCTGAGCGTTTTTCTTCTTTGTAATTAGTCAGTTTAGTCCTGTCTTTAATCAGTCCATCCTAATACTATTTTTCTTCAATTCAAGTGCCCTTTGCATGTCTCTAACAATGAGCTTTCTTAAGAGAAAATCATGGTGAAGTTTGTGCTTTTTTACAGTTGGCCACTGTCATCCACATGTTATAAGAGCCTGTGACAATCAGATGAAACAACTCAACACAAACAATCGATTTCTACACGACAGTATTGTTCAATATGCTGAGAGAATTCTTGCTAAATTACCTGAAAACTTAAAGTCTGCTTCTTCACTTGTACTGGGTAGGTACTGCCGTACTGGGAAAAGTAACTGCAATAGCGTAAAAAGGGGGTAATTTTAGGCTTACTTTTCTTGGACAGTCTGTGATTGGGCAATTCTGCTACTAACTACAGTTGGTTTTTTTAGATCAGAAGCGAACGACCTCGCGCTACGAATGGCTAGAATACATACGGGACACGAGGACATCGTTGTTTTAGACAAGTATGCATGTAATTAAGGCTAGTTTCCACTCAGGAAAATTCTCCTTTGGATGCGTAAAGCACAAAGACATAACTTATGTTGGTGTATCTGTGACCCTTTGTTTCAGTGCTTACCACGGACACACGAGTCTGCTAATGGAGTTATCTGCATATAAACAAAAACAGATGAACAAAACTTGTGATAAGGATTACGTTCATGTCGTCACAACCCCAGACCCCTACCGAGGTAAATACCGAGGGTACACGGAAGAAACGGGCGTGAAATATGCTAATGAAGTAAACGAAACGGTGGAAAATGCTCAAAAAAACGGCCGGAAGGTAAGCGCATTGTTGCATTGCACAAAACCATTATCAGCGTGGTTGAACAGAAAGAAATGGTTTAACATGTTTACGCTTGGAAGAAGTTCCTGTACTAAATTTTTAAATTTTAAATCCATACAGGTGGCTGCGTTTCTAGTCGAATCAGCACAAGGATGTGGAGGACAGATTATCTTTCCTGATGGTTTTCTTAAACATTCGTTCAAGTAAAATACAAATTGTGTAATATTACATTGGAACGAAATATATGATATTCTCTAGAAATTCACTCTACGTTTATGCTGTTTCTGTATAGACATATTCGAGAGGCAGGGGGGGTTTGCATCGCTGACGAGGTTCAGACAGGATTTGGAAGGATCGGTGATAATTTCTGGGTCTTTGAAGGACAAGGTAAGGCTTTTCTTTTTTGATATTTTAGTTCACATCCTTGTTGTAAATACTCATTTTTTCCACGCAGATGTTGTTCCTGATATTGTCACAATGGGTAAACCGATTGCCAATGGTCATCCCATTTCTCTGGTCGTAACTACACAAGAAATAGCAGACTCGTTCGGTTCAACTGGTGCGACCTACTTCAATACGGTAGGGGTAGTTAGACCTCCTTTATGCGACCCATAATGACCTCAATGCTCCCGCAAAGAATAACCGACCTCCAATGGATATTCAGGATTGAAGGGGGAGTAATAGAGTTAATTTCGTTCCAGTTTGGTGGCAATCCAGTATCATGCGAAGTCGCTCATGCAGTGTTGGATGTCATTGAAGAAGAAGGGTTGCAAAAAATGCTTTGGAAGTTGGAAACTTCATGTTAAAACATCTCAAGGAATTACAGAAAGTCCATCCACTCATAGGAGATGTCAGGTATGCGGGGCACAAGTTCATCCTATAAGTGAGAGATGTGTCACCACGGTTAATCGTGACCGTTTATAGCCATTGTAGTAGGAAATTCGCCAAAAATGCTTGCCATTGAGAAACGGATCAGAAAAGCTCCTCGTCACGATTTTAATAGTTCAACCAAGAAGCATTTTTCATATTTTGATGGTAGCTGCATCACAAATCACTACACATTTTCAATATTTATTTTTCCAGAGGTAAAGGATTCTACATTGGGATTGAACTGGTTACAGATAGAGACAAGAGGATTCCTGCAACAGCTGAGGCTTTGCAAGTCAAAACGAAGTGAGTTTTTATATGTTGACTTATGTTATGTTGTCTTTCTTTTGGTAAAACGGGGAGGTGATATCTATTTTTCCGTAAAATGTCTTCCGGTCATCATCAGCAATTACGTCGTATTTTCACACCACATTTTGTTGGACCAATGTTGATAGCATTTGAAATCAACCTGGAAACGTGACCATCACCATAAACACCAACAAGGCAACATTCATTATTAACATTCACCGAAGCCAAAATCAATATTTGGAAGCCATATTTCTCAATTTTCTCAAGTATAGTGTGTATATTATACTAAGTGTAATACAGAAGTGTCTTATCCTTTTGCCACTGCAGACTGAAAGACAGGTATATAATCCTGAGCGTTGATGGTCCAGACGAGAATGTATTAAAATTCAAGCCACCAATGTGCTTCAGCGGATGGATGGTGAATTCTTATTGAGTAACTTAAATGAAGTATTCAGTGAAGTTGAAGCCACAATGAGGCGATGACAGCGAGCAATGATAAAAATTTTTTAAAAACTGGTAATTCTAATTGGCAAATTGATGTACTGGTACTTGACTATGACTTGACATACTTCAAGTCCAGTCAGCATGATATAATATAACATTATAACTTGAGTCTGCAGATTTTGGATTTAAAAAATTAATACTAGGAAAAATAATTTGGAGCATGTAACACAGGATTTTAATTAATTAATTCATTAATAGTACTACTAGGTGGTGCAAAAACATATCCCCTTACTTTGCTAGTTTACTGAAAAACCTATCTTTATATGTAACTTCTTTACTTGAAAAAATTTCCAGTGTGAAACTTGGAACATTCTTTTATTTTTCAATTTCTAGTCAAAATTCAGGTTAAAAATCAATTGCAATTAGAAATTGCAGTTATATTTAAAGTACCTACATTTAAATAGACAGGGATTGTTTTTTGTACCAGAAGTAGTACTTGCCAAAATAGATGTGTCAAGATTAAAATAATTAAATAATAATATATAGACAATATAAGTTTTTAATTTAGGTGAATTAGGATCGCAGGTTTTGCTATATTGCAGCCTGGTGCTGTCAGTTAGCCAAGGATATCTGCTATAATTGTTGTGTATTTCATACATTAATTTATGTTGTAACATTTGTTTTTTTAAAAAAAAGCAAGGAATGCATTTGCTTTTGTAAATTATACTATTCTACACAAAGGTCACAGTATCAGGGATGGGCAAACAAGTTTCTATTTGAGAGTTGGAGGATAACACAAATATCTCCTCAACATCTATCCTTTTCCCACCATTGATTTTTCCCTCTGGGCAAAATAACAGTGGTTGGGATCATAATATTGGATTGCAGTAACTGATAAGGATTTACACAATGTTCCTGCTCAGCTTTAAGCTTCTGTATTCAACAAGTACACCACATCATACCATGTTTTACTGATTGTAACACAAACCTGCATTTTAGGTTCTCACACGGGATTTTTTTATTGTCTGTGTGTTTTCCTTTAGCACTGCATTGAGTTCATCTAATGACCAACCACTTTGACTTGACTTTTTAGCCATTCTGCTTTTTGCCTTAACCATGAAAATATTCTATTTTAATACTCAAATTCCCTTCTATAAACTTGATTCCCAACATGAAATTTACACCCCACCGCTATTCTGGCACATTCTAGGAACTCGCCAACTTCCTTCGAGCATTTTTGATCTTCAAACTTTTCCCTTTTAAAACAGTTCATCAGTTTGGACATTTCTTCCATACATGTTGCATCTTGAAAGGATACAATTATGGGTTGTTTAATAATTGCCAGACTACACTCGATAATCAAAACACAATGCCAATGAGGACTGAATGAATCTACTAAGGTTAGGTCTGATTATCAGAGATGTTTATGAATACTAAAAAGTGATATTTATAGAGACCAGTGCATCAGACTGATCAAATGAATTCATGATAATTACTTACTCCCTAAAGCTTGTTTCTTCAGGATTACATGTGGCCTTAACGACGTTGGCACTTTTCCTCTTTTCACACCGTAGATCAAATGCGGTGGTCGTCCACAAACAATTGATGTTAAATTGACCATTATTTGGTGAGGAACTCGGTAGAAACACTTTTTATTTCAAGAACCTAAATCAGTCGTCTTTAAAGAACTACATGAAGTACTCATATAAATTTACTGCGCCCGCGATATCAATTCCTCTGGCCAGCAAACTGGTAAAGATGTACTTTGTGTAGCCAAAAACAAAAGACCAACTACTGAACTGTAAATGAACCTGGAATAGTAATATCTACAAACTTACAGAGTATGCTCCTGGTTGCTCCTGATTGGCCAATCAGACTAATAAGGAACATGCTTTGTCCACCAACACAGGCATTTTATAAAAACTATATCAACTTTAGGTATGTAATTACTAACTAGTGGTTTTATTAATTTGTAGTGAATGAGATGTGCTTCATTTGCTTGAACCATTCCAGAGTGGAATAGGCCATAAAAACTTCATATAAGAACACATAAATCCAAAAAAACTTCATACAATCAATAAAAAAACAGAATATGAAATGCAATATAAGTTTTGAGACGGGAAATACAAGTTTCCCTACCGATCAATCAATGTCCCTTTGGGTTTTTTAGCCTGCCCCTCGCTGCCAGCATCTGCTGCACGCTTTTGGGCAGTGGTTTTTCTCTCAAGCTGTTTCTCGATTATTTTTGCATTATGTGCATATGATGTCTCCACTTCTTGCTGTTCAATTTCCTCCTCTTCTTCATCAACAGTGGAAACAGTAACAGAACTGAACTTGCCAAATTCCTTGGTTCTTTTTGTCATCATAACCTTCTTGGGTTTCTTTTTTTGTAAAGGATTCTTTTCATCTGTTACAAGAAAAGAAATGATTAGTTGTGTTGGTAATAGATCAAACTACTTTTTTATAAGATATTTCACAGGTGATAGAACAATGGAAAAACTTTATTTACAATTGGCAAAAACAATTATATTAAAAAAATCTATTTAGCATACAATTTAAAATGTTTTGGTACGCATAGATTAAGGAAATTGTGGATTGTCTTATGGTGTGCTTTGCCAAATAGGTTAATGCCTACCAGCCAGTTTAAAAAGTTTGTATAGCGCAACGCCGCAACCAAGATATCAGGCGGGCAATTTTGATGTCTTCTATATATTTACTAGTATTTTTTTAAAATTTTGGTTGAGCAGTTTGCATACTTTCCAGTCAGGCCTACCAGACCTTGCATCAACTGCCACCTAGGGTTTTTCTGTCACCCATACTCACCCGTATCTTTCTGTAAAACCAGCGCACCGTCAACAATGAAAGTAACTTTAGCATCCTTCTTTACACGATTGTAAAACATCCACAAGCTGCAGTTTTTGCACTTTTGCCTAAACTGCCTCTCAACCCCTTTTTCTCGCTTCAAGAATACCTCATCACCATCAATACAGCTTAGTTTATATGCATGCAGTTTCCCATCAATAACCCGAGCGTGGTCTAACCGTCTCAAGGGCAATTGTTCGATTGTGGTGTCGAGAATTAACGCAAGCTGCCCGCAGAGGCAGTAGTAAACATAAACTTTTGAGCTTAGGTCATTGTACTCTTCTTTATCTCTTGTATCGGAAACAACGAAGCTTTTAGAAACAACTTTTGGCATAATAAAAAATGTCTGTTTAAATAATAGATAGTCTTGTCAATAGTGCCTTGCGACCTACAAATGTTCCACCGTCCAATAGATAAAACCAGGATGTAACCGAACCTCCCAGAACAGTGTTTAAAGTGAGGAAAATCTTTCTCAAAGTCCAAAAAATTTCAAAACATTTTCAATACTTTTTTACAATATTTCTGTCCGAATCCAAGATGGCGTCCAAGGATGCTTCCGTTAGACATAACTACACTTCAAAATTACTTCAGGGAAATTTTCTTTTATAAAAAGTCGCAAACTGAAACCGCACGAAATAAAAAAACTTAAAATTGTTGTTTTGTCAATAACTCCATCACTTAATATGAAACAGTTAAAAAAATAAGGACTGTTGTGTAGGTAGTTTTAATTTGTGACCAAGACCCCTTTGGTTTCTAAGAGTTTTCGGCTAATTTATACACAAAAATGAGTGACATTTACTGATCTTACCTTATACTTGATACTTTTTTCTCATTTTAGATAGGTCTTCACTGTTTATTCCAATCTTTTCTTCGATATTTTTCCTCGTGATATCTTCAAACATCTTTTGTAGCGCTAAAAATAGACGAACGGATTTTAGGTTATTGGACAAACTTAGTATCCTGGAGTATCTCAAAACTTGCTTATCTTATATTTATCTCAAGTTCGCAATGTTTTAAAGCGAAATATGGTAGAATGTTTCCAAATATAGCAAGGCTTGCAAATTTTGTTCATGTTTGTAATATTTCATTTCACAACAATCCCCCACTACCGTGAATTTCAATTTCAATGCATGTTAAATCAGTTTAATAATTGCGTTTATACCTTGTCTCTCGACAGGCGAAAGAAACATTAGCGTCATTGAAAAACGGTCCACGGTCTCCAATTTCCCCAAAAATTCGTAAACAAACTTCGCATCACCTATAAAATATATCCATATAACTGTCCTTAACTGATCTAACTAAAGAGATCTCTCAGACTCTAGTTACGCATTGTTATATTAAAACTTTCAGGAGTTTATTGATGTCCTATAATATACGTGACTACATGCAAGAAGTAATAATAACGTGTGTTGTCTCTATAACAAAGAACTTCTAAAAAATGAAAAGACTTTTTAACAATTTTACCATTGTTCTTTAATTCGAGATCCAGAGCTTTGACTATCGACTTGAGGATATCGCCATCCAGTTTGTTACTGAGTACTAAAAAGCATTACGCACAAACCTTATTAAACGAATCTAAACCTTACAAGGTACTGAAGCTATATAGATAGACATAAGATTATACTCTTAGCCCACTGGCGGCTATAGAATGAGCGGCTTGCTGAAGCGATGAAATCAAACATTAATTCCTGCTTTCATTTCACTTTTGAAAACGGTAAATTTGGTGGAGAAAATAGTATAATCTTATTACGGACTTTCGTTCAAACATTCTATCACAACACCTATACAAAACTTGGCTAGGTAATAGCTATATACTTCGTACTAGATATTAAGATGTATAACGATATCTTTCTTTCGGCTCAAAATTTCCTATATGAGCGATGATTTAGTCAAATTTGCATCATATTTCCAGCTTAAAATTTTTCACCTTTAGGCAAGTCAGCTAAATTGACTTGTTTTAAGATCTTCAAGTATTCCATGCATCTTCACTCTTGACACTTTTCCATGATTGCAGGAATTGATAGGCAGTTTTCTAAAACAGATCTTTTATCTATCTACTGTGATCGCAATGAATCCACTGGTTTTTAGGTTATAAGTGGCCCAGTAATAAATTTTTGGCAAACTATAACAAAATATTAATAAAAAATTACACTCCATCAAGTCTCCAAAATATCGGAATTCTCCAATTTGAACCGAGTCAAAATCTGGAGGGGACACTGAACCTGATTCATGGCCAAAAGTAGTTATAAAAAGCTCTAAGTTTTTCTTAACTTACAACGTTATATTTAACTGGACCCGGGGCACTGACACTGGCCTTTGCCGTCATATCTTCAATTTTTTTCTTGGCATTTTCTTTCTGACTGACTTTGGAATTTGCTGTTTTTGTTTTATTCGGTTTCTGATTACTTTCAGGAGGTGACCTCTTCTGGACAGTTTTTAGCGTCTCGTTCTTTTTAGCAGGAAGGTTACTGGGTTCTTGCGGCGCAGATATGTCAGGCTATGAAAAAAAAGGCACAGAATTTGCAAGGAGCCAAGATAAGCGTTTGAAACTGGGATTGGGACAAGAAGCTTTTTAGACTGACTTTTCATCAATCATACTCGTTTATCTAGCCTGCGATTCCTCGCTGTTATATATAGGAACACAAAATTTCGGTATGGTCTAATCTATAGTGACCTTTAGCTTGACGTTTACGGCAAACGCCAAACTGGTAATAAACATTGTGTTTTAACTCCACTATTCTAAAGTGTGCAGCAATTTCGCTAAATTACAAAACGTTCTACATCAAACTCGTGATGTTCAGCAGTAATGTAAGAAAGCAATTGATTATCTTAGCAAAGCAGCAAATTCAGCTTTGCCGTATGTGTTTCACGTTCGCCGTATAAAATTTAATGCTTGAATGACTTTAATGCAGTCATTGTAGATTACTACACCAGGCAGTTAATTGATAAACAAAATTTGTGCATGGGACAGTGTTTGAAGCAACCCTCGAGCTTTTGTTTCTGGTATAGTATATTAAGTTGTTACAGACAACGTACTTTATTCTTCTCGTCATCGTCGACATCTTGAATTAAAATTTTCTTCCGCTTGGGGACAGATTTATCCTCCTCTTTTTTCTCCTGTTAGAATTCAAAAAGCAGAAATCAAACTTCCCATCTTCGAGATTAATCCAGATCCTGCATGCTAAATCCAAATCGAAGAAAATATTTCCAGGGAGATGCGATGCACTCAATATTCAATAAGGATTTCACAGCCTTTCTGTATGGAACTTTCAGCATTCGCTGTTGTTGTTGCAGATTATTTTTAACTGAAGGACATAATGGAAACACAAGTGAAAAGCTGCGAACGGTATAGGATAGTGGAAACATACCTTTTTAAGCAAGGTAAGCACGTTCGTTAGCTCACTCCTTGCGGCACCATTTTTGCTATCCAGTTTTAACACTTGAACCAGATCTTCGCTCGCCTCACGATACCGCCCTAAACCCTAAAATGAAATAGCAAAGTTCTTGTTTGGCCGCAGATTTATTATAGATTAGAAAACTTAAGGTTATTCATCGTTGATGAGTGATGATGATGATTACTCAATCGTCGCGATCTTTCACAAAACTTTGTACTTTCCCAAGCGCGTTTCGTTTGAAATTCAACATTTTCATGTAGTTTGTAACTACACGCCAATGTCAATGATTGTAAAATATTACAGCTGGTTAGTTTAACAGTAAAATATAAACTGGCAGCTTGCAAGGACTATATATACCAAGAATTCTTTTATTTGACACACAACATTTTTTATTTTGTCTTTTAAAAAAAGTGTTTTGTTTTTCTCTAACGTTTTACTGTAATTTATCGTTATTTTCACAGTGAATAGCTGTTAAAAGTACTTAAAATACAGATTTTTTTTAACTCAAAAATATTGCATCTGGTTGAACCAGAGTGATTTGGAAATATCTCCATGTATAATATTTAACAGTAACCCAGTGAGCACACGACGTCGTTTCGACGTTGATTTATGGTTGAATTTTGGTCGCGACGTCGATCAACCCAATATCGACTTCGTTTCGACGTCGATTTCACGACGTCATATCGACGTCGCAAACTGACGTTGTTTCAACGTTGTTTCGACGTCAGGTAAAACTAGAGTTTGCTGCGTTTGCCGCATTTAAATTGTATATGGATTGACAACAATATTCGGAAAGTGTTGTGAACATCATATATGCAGTGTAATGATGTGTTTTTGTCAGGTCGTTAAAGCGTCGATATATCAACCTATTCTCGACGTCGTTTTCGCGACGTTTATTCAACGTTGTTTCGACGTTATATAAAAACTTTACAGGACCAGCTTGCAAAGACTCGCAATGGTAATAATATCATTCCTGATAGATAGTTAGGACGAATGTTGCGATTTTAAGAAGTGTTGAAAATTAATTTCTATGTAACAGACTATTTAAAACCATTATTAAATACCTCGGGTCTCCCCGGAGCAACATCGGTCATGCATCGTTGGTAGAGTGCGCGCAGTGCATTTCGGGAAGGTCAAATTGAGCGCGTCCATTTGAAAATTGAAACATGTTGTCGCGAACGGAATATGAAACATTGTAGCTGTATATCTCGGGATATTTTCACAGGATTTTCTAAGTTTAATGGTTGGATATCTTTCGCATAAATCCAAGAAAGCAGTAAAGGTTAGTGAGAGTCAGTTTTACAGTGTGTATTGCCATGATAAAGGCCATGAATCGCGAGATATGAATACGCGATCGTGACATCGTGATTATATTGAAATTTAAACGTTTAAAACATTGCCCAAACTCTTTGATTCTCTTTTATAAATGGTTCAGCTAAACGAATAACGATACTTGCTCATTAGATTGTGTTAATTTATGTTTCAACGTTGTGTGATCGTGGGTTATTCATTCTAATATGACTTTGTATATACAGTAAGATCGCCATATTTGACGCCAGAACTAATTGCATTTATAATCCAATTCAATCCGCTACTTAGTTTTGATAATTTAGACCATATTTATGGTTCCGTATGTTAGTCGTGTGTTCTTTATGTGTTGAACGGGATTCGATTTAGCTATTTGCTTTGATTTTTTGAAAATTGCGTACTATTATAGGCCCTTTGCTAGATGAATAAACTGATTTTTATTATGCTGCTCCCTTTGCCAGTTGCCTTTCTCAACTGAAGCACAGAAGTGTCAACGTGCTACATCATTAAGCTTACTAAAAAACTAGCGAACGGCCTAGCACAGACCTATAACAAATATATGGGGTAAGCGTACACATAGGGACCACATATGTAGTAAACAATATTATCTCAACTTTTAAGGTTGGCCAAATCGCAAGTCGCAAATTGTCATCACAAGTAAATGCCCCTCCTGTTGCTGCGTGTATAATGATGATGAAAAGATTGTTCAGAATGAAGGGAAAGATAACATACTTGAACATAATGTCCAATTCCATAATGGTCTATAGTGTCCAAAAACTTTTTATTTTACAATACTGAGACTCTTCTCGCACTATTTTGAGGCGAGATTTTAG